ACTTTTTTGTTCGTGTGAACAGACCATGTGAGTGTCATGATTCGGCCGTGTGGCAGGCAGGATGAGGACCCAAATTGCAAACTCACAGACACGGGGGATAAACTCAAAATGCAGCTTTATTGCTGACAGGTGATAAACAATAACGATGATACAAAAGCAATGCAAAACTACACTAAACTGGGAAAAGCTAAAGTAACATATACCGGAAGACACGGGGAGAACCACACACGGCATGAGGGAGAACGCGACGCCGAACAGAGGGAGACGCAGACAGAAATACACAGAGGGTAAACGAGGAAAGTTTGAACACACGGGGAACACAGGTGACGCTGATAATCATAACGAGACAGGGCGGGGTGAACTGAACATGACATGTACAGGCGTGAGAGTCACAAAGTAAACAGGAAGTGCACAGAGGTTCAGACAGGAGGAGAGAGAGCACGGGGAAAACACAGACATAACAGGCTGGGGAAACATGGAATAAAACATAAGGAGAGACGAGGGCTCAGATACACAGAGGGGCACACAGGGGGTGAGAGTCACAACGGGAAAACACATAAGGAACAACGTAACAGATCAACCCAGGAAGCATGGCCTAAATAAGGAACAAAATACAAAAATACATGAAAACTAAGAATACTGGGCCCACATGGCCCAGGACCATGACAGTGAGATCCTCTGCCAGATGTACAACTAGGAAACGGAAGCTGCTCACTCGCTTCACTGCAGCGCCGTTGATGGTAATGTTGTTGTGTGCTTCTCTACTTCTCCAGAAGTGTACTATCAACTCGTTTGTTTTTGTGATGTTGAGAGTGAGACGGTTCTCTCGCCAACAGTGTGTCAGGGCGCTGACCTCCTCCCTGTAAGCCATTTCATCACCTTTGGTGATAAGACCCACCACTGTTGTGTTGTCTGCAAACTTCACAATGATGTTGGAGTTGCTAGTGGCCGTGCAGTCGTAGGTGTAGAGTGAGTACAGGAGAGGGCTCAGTACACACCCCTGTTGTGCACCAGTATTCATTATGACGGGGGATGAGGTGATGCTGCCCAGTCTGACCACTTTGCGTCTGTCAGACTAAAAGTTAAGAATCCAGCTGCAGAGAGAGGTACTCAATCCTAGGTCCTGCAGTTTCCTGTCCAGCTTCAAGGGAACGATGGTACTGAATGCTGAGCTGTAATGTACAAAAAACATTCTCACATACATGTCCCTTTTCTCCACCTGCGAGAGAGCAGTATGTAGTGTCAGGGCTATATCGTCATCAGTGGACCTGTTGTGGCGGTTTGCAAATTGTAGAGGGTCCAATGAGTTGGGTAGTGCAGAGCAGATGAAGTCCCCAACCAGCCTCTCAAAGCATTTGCTCACGATGGGGGTCAGCGCTTCGTACCTGCCACATTCTCCGAGGATTGTCAAATTGTTGTTCCGCTCTGTTCCTGAACTCACATTTGGCTGCTTTAATTGTCTTCCGGAGTTGGTAATTTGCGTGTTTGTAGTCACGGAGGCAAAAGCAGTGTTCTGTGCCGCCAGTGTGGTGCAAACAACACTGTTAATCCACGGTTTTTACCTTTTCCATGGAGTAAATAGGTAAAATACCGCATTCCTTTTTTTAAAGTGGTGCACAATGCGCAATGCATTACTTTTTTAAGTAACAACGCCACCACTGGCCCCAAACTCAAAAGAATCTGTGGGGAACCCTGTACTCCAGCCCAGCTTGTGAGACTTGGCTTCATCCTCTTTCTGAAATCGAAGACTTAGCTTTCTGAAGGACAATGGAGTGGTGCAGCTCCACATGGAGATAACCTTGAAGCTAAAAGGTTTTTGCTTTTTATAGCTTTTGCTTTTTATAGGTATGGTTGAGGAGCTTTTTGATTGCACCTCGTATATACCGTCAAAGAGAAACTGTCTGAATTTGTGTACTGTTATTACTAGTTCTGCATTCACAGCATACACCAGGAGAGATCAGGTAGGTGGCTAAAGGGATGTTTAAACCCACATCTAGAAGGTAATAAACACTCCACACTTGGTCAGAAACACAAATAACTTATTTTTAAACAAAATGCTGTGGAAATGAAATAAAACATTTTTTTTCACATGATTAGGATGTTACATATCGCTGTTACGCCCGGGGCACACCTTTTAACAGTCATCAAACTGTCTTTGTAAGCATATACGTATTGTAAATGCTGACAGGCACAGGCATTAGAGAAGAAAGATGATCTACTTTGTCAGAGCTCATCCTTAGCTCTGATTGGTGATTTCGGGAAAAGGAGCAGCACCTAAGAAATCTGTGGGCTCACAGGTTTGCTGGTGAAGTATTGAAAGCCTGTGATTGTATATTACCATGCAGAAAATTGTGGATGGCATGCAACCTATAAACATATGTTCAGCTTGCAAGAATGAATTTGCACAGCCGACTTTACATAAACTCCCAACTAGCACGATTTGTATGTGCATTTAATTGAATCATCCATTTCTTACTTTATCTTGCTGTTCTATCCTCTGCATGTTAGTAGCTCTTGTCAGTGGCGCCCTTCAGATGTGATTTTTTTACTATCTTAACTGTTTAATATACTTTGATATGCATTTTGGCTGCATCGTCTTACTAATGTGATGCAAATATATTTGAAGGGCAATAGCTGCTGTTAATAACAACAATGGATTTAAAGGTATTTAGCTGCGCTGCGCTTCATCTTCAACTTCAACTCTGTCAGCTAGACTAGTTAAATCATAGCCCGAAACATTGCCTGTTCACATCAGTATATCAACTTTAACTATCAAGTTTTTTAAATTTTATATGTTTTGCACTCATATCATTCTAGGATTTTAATCTCTCTTAATGTTGTTCTAGTTGTAAATTTCATGATGTAAGTTGACGTTGTTTTCTGTGTTTTGAAAAGAGAAATCAAATAAAATGTATTATCATTACTATGAAAGCTACAATATAATTTTGTGTTAGGGGACACATAAAAGACAAACAGTCAACACTTTGGGAATCTCTGCATTTCAGGTTTTGCAGTGACCACCAATTACATGAAATTAACCTTTCAACATTTTTCGGACATGTGACTCTTAAGGGTCAAATGGATAAGGCCCCAGTAGTACAAGACAGGAGACTGGTGACCAACCATTTGGCAACCACTTAGCAGTTGCTAAGTGAAACTGATTGCAAACTTATATACAGCGCCACACCAAAAACCTCCTTGTGAATGCTTTGCTCACTAGCAGACTGCCATCTGTTTGCATAAAGGGCAAATTTTCTGAAAACACTTGCTAGCTACTCTCTGAGCGATTCTGCCGGCACCTCTGGCTCCTGTCTTGTTCAATAGATTACAGTTGGCATGAGTCAGGTTCCCACACCTCTTTTATGTGTCTCCTTGCCATCACTTCCCCTCTGTCTTCAAACTGAGACTTCCTCCGATTTCTCTCTTGGCTTTGCTCGACTCTTTATGAGAGAGTTAGACCTCAGGAAGTTAGAAAGAACAGCTCTATAAGGGAAACTTTGTTTTGGTCTGATGCCATCATGTGAATGGGGAAGCTGGCAACTGAGGTGGGCCTTTTTATAACAACACGACTATAGAATAAACTACAAATTTCTCACAGATTGACGAGGGCCACCCTGGGCTGCAGTAAAACAAATGAATGGAGCCATTTTTCACCTGTCTCCTTACTTGTGTCCAAAATGTAAAAAAAAAAATTAAAGACCATTTGAAAGTCTAAACCCTGCACTCGTCTCGTTTACTGTACATGTGGTCAAACAACAGTGTGGAAAGTAGAAAGGCCTGTAGTGAATGTAAATAAAAAAAACACTACAAGTTTAGTTATTACAAACACACAGTCAGACTTGCCAGCTTCTCTGTGAGCGCTGGCTAAAAAAAGCTCTCAACCATGAGCTAAGAAGCCAAAGTAGTGGTGGTAATGACAGCTGTAGTAAAAGAGGTGGTGGCTGTAATAATATCTGTGGCAGCAAAAATAACAGTAGTAGTACTCCTTCAATATGTATAATAATAGAAGCAGTGATGATAAAAGTGACAGAAGCAGCAGGAGCTGAACTGTACAAGGGTTACAGCTGAGTTTGGGTACTTTACTTAAGTGTTTCCAATACATAATCATTTAGTTTTACAAAACTGTTTAAAGAGGTAAATATTGTACATTATACAGTAACACATAATTACTGTTGTCACTCCATACAAGACAATTAGTATAAAACTGATGTAATGTTTCATAATTTAAATAACTCAAGCCTTTATTAACGGGTTATTCATCAATATACTGCCTAATGGATTTATCACAGTACTTTGGACACTGTCGCAGTTTTTATGGCTTTTGGAGAGTGTTTCATAATTCATGTTTTAATGTGAAGGTACTTTCATTGTTTTGGCACACTCATGTCTCTTCTAAATGCAATATTTTTATTTTTACGTTTGTTGTACTTCTAGGACTCTTCCAGAAGTGTTAGGATATGCCGGCATTGTATTTGTACTTTTTGTAAATTTCTCTATAGTCAACAAGTGAGACAACTGCTTTTAAAAATATGTCAGATTTTCAAAATAAAACCCAGACTTAGCTATGTTTACCAGTTTGTAGTCAGTTTTTCGTCATGATGCTTTTTCTCTGAGGTTTTCAACTTTAAAGACCTTAGATAGTTGTTAAAAGTTATCAGGTTCATCCCAAACATGTCAGATGATCTCAATACAAGCTCTAGTTATTCCAGGAAGCTTTAAGGTATCAGATTTTAAAAATAAAAGCTTCTACACATGCATATATGTACAAATTTGAGTTAGCAATCAGGCTTAGATCTTTTCAGTTAATCTATTTAGCTACAATTTTTAACATTCTAGCTTTTGTAGCTCTTATTGTGATAACATTTTTATTGTGAATTCTTCTGACTACAATAATCTCGTAGTGAAAATTTCACACGGTGACAGACATAACTGCTACTCTGATTCAGTTAGACTGTTTCCGTAAATACAGTATTATTATTTATATTGAAGCTCCTGCTCACCACATCGTTAGAAGTGTCGTTCTCTGGCGTCTGGGGTGGTTCACCAGTAGCAGGACTGTTGGACGGCATGGCAGGGAACAGCTCGGTGAAACCAAGTTTAGAAAGTTAAAAAAACAGAGCAAATCAAAACATGGGAAATGCCCTCAGAAGCACCAGGTGCAGCTTCATTCAACCTGTCTCGGTCTGTCAGACAATAACGCGCTCCCTCAGACCTCCCCCTCTCCTGCGGGAAGAAAGACAAAACACACACAAACACACACAAACACACACACACATAAGTACACGTACAGCTGGAGCATATTTGTCAGGTCTGAGTAAGGAATCATGCTCAGCATGTGACTGACATCTTTCTTTTTCTTACTTTCTCAGCTGCACACACATTACAGGTAAACTACAGGTATGGCTCTGTGAACTGTGCTTGGCAGGTGGAAGCATAAAAGCAGCTTCTAAGCCCTGACATATTAACAGACATGCAGGTGTCTTCAGAGTAGCCTGCTGGAATCAGGGTAGCTGTCATCACTGCTGTCACAGAGTGATTGATGCAACCTGATGAAACTGTCCCATTTTATTAGACAAAGTGGCTGCATTCAGACTGCAGATAAGGCCAAATCAAAATCCTGACCACAAGCATGACAAAGATCTGTGTACTTGTGGTACCAATCACACTGTATCCAACAACTATCAATACAGAAGTATTTTTCAGTGATGTATCATGTTTTATTTAGTTTTGGTTCTTTTTCCTATATGTCCTACATTTTCTGCATTTTTGAGGCATGTTTGACAATAATTGTTTATATAATATTTTGGGGGGGTTATAATTGAAGAAAATATAAAACAACAAACAAGTAAGAAAAATTTCCATAAATATCCATAACAAGTTTTATTTGATCTTACATTTTTTTGCTTTGTCTAACAGTTTAAAACCCACAGATACTCATATTACAATGACATAAAGCAGACTCTATCATATATGGGAAGCATTCAATTTTGGCTTTTATTTGATAAACAATTAACCTTTTTCTAGGACATTGTGTCTCATTATTGAGCTCGAATGGTTGAGTGGAAGGCAGCAGTGAGAAAGGTGTTCAGTGGAGAGGCAACCATGTGTGACCTTGTAAGTACTCGAACTCATATTGGCTCTCATTTCATCACCCTCTCATCTCATCGTTGTCATTAACATTTTTTGTTATATGGAAGGTAATTAATGACGAAACCAAGTAGCAGGAACAAAGCAAAGTGAGCACAGGGACAGTTTTATAACCGCAGAAGATGTTTTTAAGATAAAATCCTGTTTTTTTTAATAAACATATGGCTTGAAATGTGAGCCCTAAAGGTTTTTTTACCAGCTGTTTTGGCAGATTGTAGGCACTTAGGTGTATTACAGGGGTATTTACGAACAATTATTGGAAAACACGCTGTAGCAGAATAACAAGCTATTGCGCGCATGTCTGTTCACAGTTTAAAATTGCATGTAAGGGATACAAACAGGAAAAAAAACAGATTTTAAGATAGCAAACAAAGAAAGCATTACAGCTCTATTGACGCAGCTCTTCTTGGGAGATTAAAACACTGATTGCGATCACATTTCAGTCCCTCTATGTTTCAGCAAAGGCATTATAAGAGAGAGTCCTGGCATTCAAAGAATACCTAACTGATATCTATGGGAGGAAGATGGAGGGAGAAGTATAACTAGGGGCAAAGTCAGCAAACTTTGTGTTTGTTTTTTTGTTTGTTTGATTTCTTTTTATCAGATTTGACTGGTGAGTATAGTTTCTGTGCCCCAGTGATTGTTGAAAATAAAGTTTATTATACCTCTTTTTAGTTTATGCGCCACATGCAGCACAATTTGATCTTAACTGACCTGGACTAATAAAACCGCTGCATAATTTAAGTATAAAGCAGTATTTTGAAAACATTCACCTAGGTCACTGCTAAGATTTTAAAAAGCTGAAACCTTACGCCGAGCTGAAAGAAACCCTTCACCCCAATCCCTTAAATTTTAGCAGAAAACTCAAATTAATTGATTGATTTGCAAAATAGATGACACAAAACTTGAGATACCTTGAAATAAACAAATTATATCTCAGCTTTTCCACATTCATTGAGTTTATGGTCATTCCATTTGCAAACAGATCATAGTGGAAAAACACAGAAACCTTCAAATGCATAGTCCTGCATGCTTGTATTCCTCTAAGTAAGCTTATTGCAATTGTTCAAAGTGCAGCAGAAACGAGTGAACATCCTACACCAGTTCAAATTACTCTGCCCTGGCAGCTTGTTTGTTTTAGGTGTGATTTATTTCCTTTAAAGCCTTTCATCACTCCATCACGTCCCATAACTGTTGTCCTTAGTGCACAGCCTTTGATCTTTAGGAAAAAATGCGCTGACGGTTACGTCTACTTTTAAATTGCTGTCTATTTTATCACTTATTTAGAAATAATCTTACAGATTTTCTTTTAACTCTGACAGTTTTAGGTATCCCCCATTTTATTCTCATAACTTTCAAATGTTTAGGTTATTTTTAATTTATTCTGATTTTTTTCCTATTATATCTTGAGGTTGCACTCAAGTCTTACATGGCCAATTTTAATTTAAAATGCAGGCTGTCTGAATTATTATAAGGGTTAGAGTTTGTGTGTGTGTAAACCTGGTTTAGATAAGAACTGTGCAAAAATATCTTTATTATTGAAACTTACTTAAAACCTCTAGCTCGAGAAATGGCATTCATTTCTATCTATTTTCACCCTTTTCTAATAAACCCAACATCGGGAATGGAAATGCATGTTATCACAAAAATAAAGAACTATTGACTTGGATGCATCTTTGTCAGTCCTGGTTTAAATAACTAATCTAGTATTTGGAGGCACTTCATGGCTGCTGAGTGGCAAGATTTGCTTGTGGAAAGACGCTGGTTTTACCCTGCCCTAACATGAAATGCCTTAAAACCAAGCCAGACATGCCTGTGACAGACACTTAGACACTGAAAGAGAGCCTTATTAGGACTGACTCTTCCCATCAGATGTCAGAATATGTCCTAGCATCTGCTTGCTAATCTTGTTTTTATGGCAATATTGTTAAGTATACTAAGACTAACACAAGTTATGTAAGAAATGCAAAAATCTATGCTCAAACGGTGACCATTATTCAGTGTTATGACCTCTTAATGCAAAAGTACTCTAACAATGCTTTTTTTAATACCTTTAGGGCTATGTCAGGTGTTTCCAAAGCAGATGAAATTTTCATCATTCTATTAACTACTAATGGTTCTATTAACCATTTTTAGGATCTTTTTTATATCTTAACTTTCTCCTTACAAGAGGAACTTTAACTGGGTGTACAGATATTGGTCAAACCAGACTATATTTTAAAAGAGTCATATGCTCGTGAGGCAGATGCTTGTCAGATCATAGAAAAAATAACTCTGCTTCATTCTCCTTCAGTGCACTCAGCTATAACTTACAAAATCAACAATTGTTTTCATTTAATATGAAATAAAAACAGCAACGGAGACCATAAACTCATGGGGAAAGTGTTTAGTGGTGTTAATTTTCCCATAGACTTCAATACATCTGGGTGGCTTTTTGCTCCAAGTCATTAAAATTTAAATTTAAAACACTTCCACACTGGCTTCACTTTTGAAACCGGGGATAAACCAGTCTTGAGATCTGTCCTCAGACAGACCAGTTCTTGGGGAGTTGCAAGCTTAAATAAGTGACTTCAGTTTAGTTTTATTCTCTATTTTTCAGGAACTGTTCACAAGAGAAAAGCTTTCCTGTTACAGATTTAGCTACCCGCGGGCAGGTACACACAAGATTAAATAAGCTATAAAATACAAATATATGGCGAGTAATAAAATCAGATATGCATGCAAAGCCTAAACTTCCTACATCTCTACTCTGACCCACAAAGCACAAAGGTACGGCTTGACTAATTGTTCATGTTGAGGGTCTCCGATGGGCAGAGGAATGCCATCATGTTGCAGGAAGAAGAGACCGAAAACAGATCAAACTTCATCAAAGCGAAAGCGTCCACATCACGAGGTTGGTTGCTAATATGTCAGTCTATGATTTGGACTACTTGTTATGAAAGCATCCTGATCCTAAGGGTTAATCTCCACAATGAAATCCAAGTCACATTAGTTTGGTAGAAGCTTTAATTTCTAAAAATTGTTCAGGTAACAAGTGACATGGAAATCATAATAAAGTGGCCAGGTTTCTTTTGTTTGTTTTTCAGCTCCTCTGAAGAAAAAAGGAGGGAAGGACTGAAACTGCGGTTTTGGAGTGTCCACATATAACACTAATTAAATCAGTACTGACTCTTGGTTTAATAAACCTCAATCACAGATTAAATCAGTGGCTAAAGGGATAAGCTGATCTTTGGGGATTACACCATACAGGATGGCCTCTGTTTCAGAGAAACACCCCTGGATTAGTGTGCTAGGTGCGAAGTCTGTTGTTTCTGTGCTTTTGTGAGTGTGATTTGTTCAGACAGGTGTCAGAAACTCATCCCAAAAAGGAGCTTCAAAATGTGGTGTTGTAGACTTCAGCAGTGATCTGGATTCGAGCGCAGTGTGAGCGCAGCCAGTGTGTCTGGCTTTACTCAGGATGCATTGTACAGTATGTCACTCCTCATGCTCAGGCCTTACATCACCTACTGTAAAGACAACAGGCGGTGGGCCAGGGTTACCAGCAGAAACACAGAGTGGAAACTTTGCAGAAATGGTTGTACAGTATCCACCCCGCCATTCCCGGGGGCACCCTGCACAAACTCCAGGCTGCAAGCCAACTAACTCTTCCAAGTCCTAAGTATTTAGGTCACACACACACCTCACCCTCCTATAGCAAGTCAATATACACTGATTTAAATTGTTCCAGTCTTCATGTCAGCAGTGGTTTAAATTAGCCCCTAGTCAAAGGCCCAAGCAGAAGCCTGCATTGGTGGGAGGAGAAATGGTTGCGCAGAGAAAAAGCTTCAGAGGAAGGTTAAGGTAATGAGAATAAGGCAGCGACAAGACAGGAACATAAGTGACAAGTGATTAGTTTTCACAATAAAAGCATTACATCCTATTAAAAAGATAAATTGCCTTGTTTGTTTGCAAATGTTTTTATCCTGTTATTATTGTTGTTTTACAAATCAAGGCAAAACGATACTTTTCTTTTAAGTGATGAAAACACTGACCAATTCTTTTTTTCTAAATTGGGTTTACAATTATGCACATTTCCCAAACTGTAGCACTTAGTTATCTGTACTCACAGAACTTTTTCACAGATTTTGCAAATACACAGGTCATCTGAGGACAAAATACTCACAACACACCTCACCCTCTGGTGTAACATTTGACCATATGCAAAAACTAAGGTACTACAACCATGTTTATAGTTAAAAGAACACAAGGTGGGAAACATATTATTAATATCTTGTGTGTTCTTAAAGTTGTCAGATTGAGATATTTACATTATCAAACGTATATGTTGTTGGAGAAAGATGTCCAGTTAGATCGTGCATAGAATTTTGTAAAAGAAATTGCATTTAAACGTATTATTAATATCCATATCATTCCCCAATCTCTATTTCTCAACTAATAAATTATACATAATTAACTAGTTGAGTGTTTTAGCCAAATTTTGCAAAGATATGAAATGAAATTTCTAAAATAATTACCATCACATTCAACATATAAACAAACAGATCTTAAATTATTTCAGCAGTATTGGGATAAGAGGCCTTTCTGGATTCAAGCAGTAAGGGATATGTTATTTAAAACACACCCATGAAATGCTTTGATGTTAATGAAAACAGAGATCGACAGACAAAGATAACAGAAGTAGATTTTCAGATTTATAACAAATTAATTTATATTAATTTATATTTACTTTCTCATTTATGTATTATTTTTCTTTTCAAAGGGAATTGTATTTCTAAACATTGCCCACTTGTAAAATTATCTAATGTGGAACTTTATTTAGAAAAATGGCCACTTAAATCACCTCTTTCTTGTTCCTTTAGTTTTCTTTTATGTCAAAATTGTGTAAAATTCAGTTATTCAAACTATTAAAATAAAAGATTTTATGTTTTTCAATCTTTTGTGACATTTTTTAAGATGGTATAATTTGGGGGTTTCATGGACAACGTGTTTTTCTTAGTTTCCTGACATTTTACAAGCCCAAATATAACCAGCACATTCAAAATATAATAAAATACTGCAGATATCTTTGTAGCAAAATAAATTCCGTCAGATAAATTTTAAAGATTATAATAATGTCATATTGTGATTAAGTACCGTTAAGTAGTCAAACAAACGCCTTTGTGTCGACTTTTATTTTAAACGCCCCATCCGGAAGTGTGGTTATTGCTGCTGCTACCTTGACAACGTGCAGTATATAACAATTAATATTGTGAGCGACCTCACGTGGCCTTTACCGGACGGCCTCTTATAACCGGTGTATAATCCCGGCTGGGGTGTTTGCGGGGCGGGCAGCTGGTGAGAGGCACGTGTCTGAGTGTGTAGCGACGATAAGCTTTACTGGGTCAGGTAAAAAACACACACGGGGGCGCGTCTCAGACCGAATGCACCCGTTAACCCCGACATGCGCGCCCCCGCCTGCTTGTTCACGCGCCTAGACTCCGGCTCCGCGCGCTGATGTGTCTGTCTGCATCTGGTGAACGAAGAGGACGGTGCGCTCCGGTTTAACGTTACCTGCTGGTGGCTGCGGGGGGCAGAAGCCTGGCGGAGGGAGCAGGGCTTGTACCCTCCGCCGGACATCGGTTAATAAGCATCCGTTATATAACGGCTGTCCGGTGGCGGTGATTTTCCTCCCACTGTACAAAAGAAGTCCCCAAGTTCACTCGCCCCGTGTACCGCTCCGTCTTCACGCGCACATCATCTGCTAAAACGGAACCGACGATTTGGCTCCGGAGCGCGCGACGACTTTAGGAGGTGAATATTAGCTAACTTAACGGCTGTAACGGGCGCCGCTGTGCGTTCAAAATGTAACGTTTATATTTACCGTGTCGTCCGTCCCTCAGGCACCCGGACCCTCACGGTCGTCGCTCTCTCTCCTCTCGTTCACTCTCGATCTCTCTCTCTCACACCCACTCGCACTCAAACTCTCTCTCTCTCTCTCTCCTCGCGTTCAAACGGGTCTTCTCTCTCCGTTGCTGCGCGCTCCCGTCGGCGTTCTCTCACACACACACAACTCAATCTCTCTCTCTCTCCCCCCTCCCGCTGACTTTCTCGAACTGCAGAGGCTGCGGAAGCAAGCCATTTCAGCCAAATATCGCGAGTTTTCTAACACGTCTGGTTAAGAAATGGCGTAAAAAAACGCCGTTTGATTATTCAAAACGCCGAAATGGCTTGCCATAAAAACATATAGGAGACAGGTGTGTAGAAAATGAGCTTCAGTTGGTGTGTAGAAAATGAGCTTCAGTTCAGAGCTGCCTCGGGAGCCCGCTTTAACCCGTGCAGTTATTTACAGTGTTTTAAGATTCAGCTGGCTGGATGAATTTAAAATAAAATCTTCTTTATTTAACTCAGAAGTGGGTAAATTCCTGTATTACAGAGGGGGGAAATTAAAGAAACTAGTTTAATTATTTCCAGTAGACAAGCTAAAAAAAAAATTATGACTAAAGTTAAATATTATCCAACAGACTGGAGCTCAACTAAAGAGGAAAAAGTCCAATAAAAAATCAATAAAGTGCAATATAATAGCCTAATATAAAACAGTGAGCTGAAATAAATTGAACAATTTATATTAATAATTAAAGGTCAAAATAAAATGCAGTTAAATACTGTAAAAAGGTGATACAATACAGGAGGAAACTTAATAAGTATGAATTTTAATAAAATGCATATTTCTATATACACAGGAGGAAACATGGGATAAAATTTCTGTTATAAAAGTGTTTTAACACAGAAGGAATAACATGTAGAAGATGAGCCTGGTTTCAAAGTGCGAGTAAAAAGGAAGAATCAACATAAGGCAAAGATGGTTCTTTCTGTAGCTCTACATCATAGACATCAAAATTGGTGCATTTTTGCTACGGTGTTTATAGAAGCAGTCTTGGCTTTAAAATGCAATTTGTGCCTGTCCGTGAAAAATACTCACAACAATAAAGGCATCACAATTACAGAAACTAATAACAAGAATGTGTAGTCACACTATCTGCTGTGTGCAAGTGACACTACTGTATCATACTACATCGTATCACCTGGGTTTGTTTAACAGATTTATAATACCTGGTATAAAAGGTTAAGGTTAATGTTACTTTATTTATACCCATAGGTAAATTTGCTATATTTTTATAATGCTTTGTCCTGCATCTTTAAACTAGAAACCTCCGTCCTAAGGAAAGAAGCTGAAATTCACCCCGTAGAGGATGGGAACCATTTTTAAGCATTGATAAAGCCATCTGTTGTACCTATTTAGAGTACAGGGAGGCTAAACGGGACTGTGACTCACCTGTCATACGACTGGACCATCTCACTATCTGATTCAGTGAGTTTTTTTCTGTGACAAAGGTCTGACCGAACCATGCCACCAAACAAAAAGATAAAACAGACTCAATAAAAGAACGTTAAAACAAAGTTACACATTTCTGGTCAATCAGGAAATGAGCAAGTTTCCTGAGGCAGAAAAGATGCTGATGACCCTGTTTACAGACCGATTTGCAATTCTCATCCAAGTTCAGTTTTTCATTGATTATGGTCCCAAGATATTTATATGATTGCTCTATTTTCTGACCTTTAATAAAAGTGACTCCGTGCCCGTTTTGTTGTTTACTACAATCACTAACCAAATATTTTGTTTTAGATATGTTCAATTGGAGATAAGACTCCTCACACCACTGAACAAAGTCATCAATCAGTGGACCGTGGCTAGTTTCACCCTCTTTCAGTAAGCTGACAATAGCATAGTCATCTGCATATTTAATAATGACCCTGTTTTCATATCTGCTCTGACACGTGCTTGTGTAGAGAATGAGTAATAAGGGCAATAAGACACACCCTTGAGGAGAACACTGGGTCAGACAGAATCCCATTTATTCTCACTCTTTGTGACCTGTCAGTTAAAAAATTTAAAATTCAGCCCACCAGGTTTTTCCTGATTTCAAACTGTTCTAAAAGTATTTTAATTAAAATATGGGGCTGTATTGTATTAAAAGAAAAAGAAAAATCGATGCAAAAGTCCCTTTACTCTCTACATGTTTAAGAATCAGATTTAATTAAGTCAAAAGCGAATCTTCCACTCCTCTGTTGGGCCTATATGCAAATTACATTGGATCCAGCTGTTGTTCAGTCTCTTCCATAATCACACTTCTGATGGTTTTTTCAAAGACGTTTATCACAGCTCAGGCAACAGGCCTGAAGTCGTTTAGAACTTCTGGACGACTAGATTTAGAGACAGGAACCACGACAGTTTCTTCCCAAAGAGAGGGAACGTGTTGTATTTGCAAGGATTCATTAAAAATAACCTGAAATGTAGGACTGAGTTCTTTAGCGTAAGATTTAATTAGGTAATGCGTAAAAATATGAATTTGCAGTTTTTTCACTATCATTTTTATAGTGGATGCATGGGATACACTCTGTATCCACTGCACACTATTCATTATACACGTGGGTCCACTTTTCTAGCATTTACATGTTTTTTTTGTACTGTTTAAGAGCTGTGTGTCCTCCCTGGCACAATTCCAATGGGATTTTTCTTTATTTTTATTAAATTGATTTTATGTTGATTTAATATTTCCTTATTTTTCTTTTTTCCCCTGTTCATTTACTGCTGTACTCTTATAGTATTACCCACCAACCATTTTTATTAAGCTGGATTGACGCTAATGTAATCTAACAGAATGGCTAGAGGGTAAAAAATGTCTGAAAATGTGTGTTTTGAGCAATGATTTAAGTTACTATGGGTTTGAGGGATTTTTTTTAGAGGTCTGCAGCATCAGATCCCCTGAAGTCTGCAGCCAGGAGAGGACAAAAAACACACAAGGACTGAAGATTTCAGGAGGGGGAGCAGAGATTAAGGAGGTCAAAGAGATGCTGTGGGGCAGGAACGTGAAGGGACTTGTAGTTTTGGAGGGAGGCAGTGTAGAAGGGGTTACTTCTGCTTGAGGACTTGTGTTACGGTACTTCATGTAAAAACAAAGCTATGTGCAGAAAAATCTAAAAAAAAAAATGTTTATTTCTTACCTCTCTAATCACCTCATGATGCTTCTGATCCCCTTTGTGATTTGGGAGAACTATATTGGAGAAAAAATGTTGTTTTTTTGGGTGAGACGGCTTCACAGTGAGCTGCTGTACCTTTCTCTTGGCTGCCTATCTTCACCTGCAGCACCCACACCGACTTGTTTCTTGTTTGGCATGTTACTTTCTTCTGGTGTCACTGCTTTCTCAACAGGTGAAGTTCAGCCTGATGCAACACGTTGAAACCTGCTCGCTCATGTGCTCTGCAAATGGAGAAAAAGTTTGGAATTAGCGGGAAGAATTCCTGCTCTGACAGGTGGTCTAATTTTTGTCCTATTTACAAAATAACAGCTGGATTGGACTGAGGAGCGTGTGAAAGGATTCCCTTAGAAATGATAATCTCAGCGCTCTCACCTCAACATTTTCAGTTTGCCCCAGCTGTTAAAAATATCAGCCTACTCCAAAAGAATCACAAGATTTGATTAAGTAAATATTATATTCTACATTCGTTTTGCAGGTTTTATCATGAACCTAAAGTGATTTGTGACCTTCTTGTCCTTGCATTTTGCTGCTGGACAAAATAAAAGCTTTCCTGTACTCCTGATGAAGGTTGTTGTGTCTGCATGCAGCCCTTGCAGGCATTCGTTTATGCATACCTCTCTTAAGGTCCTGCCACAGCATTTCAATCACATTGAGGTCTGGACTTTGTCTGGGCTACTGCAACACCTTGATTCTTTTCTTTTTCAGCCATTCTGTTGCAGATTAGCTGCTGTGCTTGCGTTCATTGTCCTGTTGCATGACTCACTTGGGACCAAACCTTAGCTGCTGCACAGATGACCAAATCTGTGATTTATCGAGAACAATTTTACTTGAATTTGTTCGTACTTTAGGAACTAATATAAGTCTCTCTGGCCATGTGTACGAATAAATGACAGGTCTTTAAAGAAATAGGCCGACTATAATACTGCTAATAATAATAACAATAATAACTAAATCAAATGTAATTCTTTTTAATATTGGCTTTTAGTCATGATTTAGAGTTTTCCAAACTACAGTAAGCCACAAACACTCCTAATTATAATAGAATGCATTTAAAGAAAATAACATACTAAATAGAAAAGCATAGGCTTTAAACTACACTACTTAATCTTCCAATTATCGAGGGCTGGGTCGCAGGGCAGCAGCTTAAGCAGAGCAGCCCAGACCTGGCTCTCCCCAGCCAGCTTCTCCAGCTTATCTGGGGGAACACCTTGACATTCCCAGGCTAGCAGATAGATACAATCTCTCCCAGCAGGACATGTCTGGTATGATTGTAGATTTAATCTCAGCCCCTCCTGAATGACTGAACTCTTCTTTCATTAAAAAAGACTTTTATCATTCCTTGATGCCACTTACAGTATCATCATGGAGGTTGACAGATCACATGGTTCTGGCCTCCACTAGTTTTCTTGTAATCTGTTAATCCGTCTCAAACCTTTGCTTTCACAGTCTGTGTCTCCTGTAATTTTAGAGTTTTTATTTATGTGGTCATTTATTAAATGGTCGTCACTCCCGTGAAAACACTTTGCTTTGGAAAGCTGTGCCTCTTCTGGCTTCTCCTTGGAACGCTGAACTCTTCTTTTTCTTGCATTTCACCACTTTCTCTGCTTCACCTGGAGGTAATCCTTATATAGAGAGGGGATGGGGCAGTATGCAGCGAGTACGCAAATTGTATGACTGCACAAGACTGTTGGTTCAGAATGATTCTGATTTACTAACTTATGTGTGACAGCGAGGGAAAAAATAGGTCAGCATGCACATTTCATAAATCTTTGAGTGCAAAGTCATTTTTTGTGCAGGGCAAAAATGTTTCCACAGAATTATTAGTAAATGAGGCCCATTGTTCCAGGAGTCCTGCTGTTTGTTCAGAGGCAACTTTGCAAACTTCTCCTGGCAACCCTTTTTCTAATTGTACTGTCAAGATCTTTAACATTGAACATGCTATCTC